AAGGTTTTCAATTCTTTTTTTCTTTTTCCTTATGGTCTTTCCCTATTTTCCTGTAGTTTAGGTAATAAAGTGTTCTTTATGTTTAAGTTGGAGCCTGTTTTGCTTATTCCTGGTCACATCTCACAGCAGACACCAGGGTGAGGGCATTTTCATGGGGGGGCACTGGCTCTGTGCCAGGCTCAAACCATGACACTTGTATTTTAAGTTTTGTTCCTGTTGAGTCTGTCACTTATTCAGAAGATGGTCTTTGTACTACACTAATTCTTTGCTTTCTTGCAGTTGCTGTGGCAGTCACCTGGGCTGATCGAGTGATCCCCTCCGTTGCCTGGATCATTCCTCTCTCTGTTGCTGTCTCAATATTTGGTGCCCTCAACTGCAGCATGTTCACACTCGGTCGATTAAGCTATGCTGGAAGTCAGTCAGGACATTTACCTCTTTTAATATCCATGCTTAATGTCCACTCCTGTACGCCAGCACCAGCCATGATTTTTTCAACCACCATTGCATCCATTTTTATCATCCCCTCTGACCTTATTATGCTAACAAATTACTTTGGATTTTCTGCCTGGCTTATGACTGGATTGACTTGTGCAAGCCTGATTGTACTTCGATACCGGGAACCTCATCTACACCGACCATACAAAGTAAATGGATCTAAATTTAAAATATTTTTATATATTATTTTTTGAGTCCTGGGTAGCCTGAAAAAGTTATAGAAGAAGCTCAAATCTAAAGTGGATAGTCACAAAATTACAAATAATAATCTCAATGCCTCATTTGAGCCTCATTTGAAAATTTTGCTTCACTGTAAAAAGAAGAGAAACAAACAGATGGTCTCTGCCCCAGAGAAGGTGAACACATGAAATGGTTCTTTGCAGAATGGGGGAGATGTGCAAACAGTGTGGAACCATACCAGTGTGGAGCAATAACAAGAACAGTTTAGGACCCATTGCCCTTTAGTTCATTAAACTTCAATCTGCTCTCATCTTCCTTGACATAATCACAGGCATTAAAGATAGGTTGAATTTCTTCTTACTCCAGCAGTCAGAAAGCTTGGGTTAGAAGTGCATGTTCATTGTGAAGGCTTCCAGGCACCCAGCCCTGAGTGTCTTATAGGAACCCGCATTATCATATGTGAAAAAAATGGATTCCCAATACTGCCTGTCTCTCCCCCTTGACAAAAGAAGAAGCCTAAACAAATATCTTTAAAAAGATTCCTCTCTTATAGGCAATTTGAGTCAGATGACTCTTGTCCTGGGTGAATTTATAGCAGCATGAGAGGTGGTGCTGTACTGTGGCAAACACATTGTTACTCTGATGAATGAGGCAGAAAAGTCAAGTTGGTTCCTTTATTTCCTAACCCAATTTTTTTTCGTTTCTCTTACAGGTGTTTTTACCAGTTCCATTTATGATGGTGGCAATGTCTTTCTTCCTAGTTCTAGCTCCCATAGTCTGGTCTCCAAACATGCAATATGTTTATGCTTTCCTGTTTATGCTTGGAAGTCTCATTATTTATCTGCCTTTTATACATTTTAAATTGCGTTTTCCATTTCTTGATAAAATTACTTGCCACCTACAGCTCCTGTTAGAAGTCTGTCCTGCTGATGGACCTGCTGAGGGCAAATGTGAATAATGGCAGATATTTAATCTCAGTACAACTAAGAGCCAACAGAGGATTTTGTTTAACTGAGGCTATAAACAGTACAATTTAGATGTTGGTGTGATACATAGGTGTGCATGCATGCATATACATTTATAGATGTATTCACATATATTGCAAACATGCACATATATGTATGTATGGGCACAGAATCACAGAATGAACTAGGTTGGAAAAGACCTTTGACACCATCAAGTCCAACCTATGACCAAACACCTCCTCATCAAATAAATCATGGCATTAGTATAAGTTAATATGTATATGTTTGTTTGTATAAATACATAAATTTATATGTATACTATTTTAGTACATGCAAAGGATTTCTCTTAAACTTGCAAAATCTGTAAAATGCTCTCTGCTGCTCCTGAAAACACAGTTAAAAGTTGCTTAGAGTCTTGCAAAAATGGAAATAAGACTCAATCACACAAACACAAATAATTGTCAGTATTATCATACAATAAGTGAATAAATACATAGTAGCATAATTATAAAAATACACTCACACTTTGAACTAAATTGTCTGGATTATTCTTAGTTTGCAGTAGCTCATTGATTAGAACTTTTGGTTTTAAAGACTATATTTTCTTCATCTGCTACTTTTTTTGGCATTAATTTATTTTTAATAAAAGCCTTTGAAGACTATCATAAAGTTGACTGATCATTTTAAATAGCAAGAAAATTGGACATGGTGCCTCTTAGCTATTTTAGAACAACACATAAAAATTCAAAGTGAAATCTTACAATGCATAAGGACAATAAAAATTATTTATCCTTTTTATCACAGAAATAAAAGCTAAAGATATGTAGATTCCTTTACTAAATAATTTACATCTTAGCATCAATATTACTTTATTCCTTGTTTTAGTTTTGGTGTTATTGAGAAGTAAAAGCTTTTTTTAGCCCCCTTCCCTCCATTTAAATTTTGTTTATGAAAACAAGATAACTGAATTCTTTTTTCTTCCCATAATTGGGCCATATAAAGTTCATGGACTATTTAATCTTAAAAATAAATTAAAAGTACATACAAACCATCATTTGGAGGTGATTATTAATATATGCTGCTATTTTTATAATTACAATAGAATTACAAATAGAAAGTGATTTTCCAAATCTGGCAATGAAAGATCAGCAACACAACCAGCAGATGGCCCCAGCTGAACATGATCTCTGGTCTGATGGATGTTGTATTGGTGAAACTGTCTGAAAGGGCACTGTATTATAACACAGTGGAATGAAAAAATCTTGCTACGATACTCGATTCTCTAATGTATAACAATTTTAGAAATCACAATGACAAATAAAGAATTCTTCATAGCTACCCAAAGTCTAGGGTGGCCATCAATAAAACCAGGAATCAACTGAGGGTTTAAGAGGATTTGACTTTGCACTGGAATGAGCCCCCAAATTAAAACAAATATATGTAGCAAGTGGCTTTTCTCAAGGTGATAATGGACACAGAATGAAAATTTGAAGAAAACATTATACCTTTTAACAAGCTCTATGAAGAGAAGTTCATACAAGTGAGGACTGCAATGTATACAGCTGAACTGGAGACTGGATCCTGCTGAATGCAAGAAAGAAAATCAATGTTTAATTTCACTTAATAGTGCTATTGGAAAAACATTTATCTTGCTGTTTAAATTCAAAACTTCATGAGACTCACCAACATTGTAGCGGAGTTATATTTTAAGAACTGAATTGCAAATGGAAGAAATTATTGTACTGTGACTAAAGCATCCATCAGTGATTTGTAAATACAGGTGTGGCAATGCCACAGATTTTCAAATGAACTTTCAAGTAATTTATTTAAATCTATATTTTAATATGAAAAGAAAAGTTGTAAGGAAGTTGTAAGGAAAAAAAGTTTGTAACAATAATAATGTATTATTGTACACCAAATTATTAAAAAAAGCAAGCATCGGGGGAAATTGCTCACTTGGGTGTGTTATTTCCATGTTATTTCTCATCTTCTTAAATAGATAGTTTGTCAACTATCTATTTAATTCCCTAATGAGTTGGGTACCCACTGATAACATATGTCAGGGTATGTTTGTGTAATTGGAGCATGTATTTGTTAATGATACAAACTTCAAATATAAAGGTTTAGCAGTTCCAGTCAATCAGGGAAGTCAAAAATCCCAATGAAATTTAATATGAAATAAATTGCTTTATGTATCTTTCTGGAATATGATGTAGATAGGTTTTTTTTTAAACAAAAATCTAGGAAATGGCACATAAATGTACAAGATGAGAAGATTTAGAATAGATCAGAATTAAAAATGCCCATGCAAGTTTAAGCCCCTCTGCAAAGGCATCTTTCAATGGCCTTGCATTATTAGATCATAAACTGTTCTTTCTATATACCCTTACCTCATTTATTGGAATGAATGGATGGTGCCAAATAATTCACTATCATATTCTCCCCATTTCAGCATGTGATCTTGCATTTTGTTTATCACTCTATGCTCAAATGCTGCTCTTGACAGACATTATTGATATCTTACAGATTTTTCTATGGTGTTCCTCATGTCAGCACCTAGGCCCTTCACAAGCAGCCACTAATTTCTCTGGACTGTTATGAGCTGTGTCAGTGGTATCATCTTTGCTTGCTGAAAGTAAGTTAAGCTGATGTGTAGGTTGCACAAGAAATCAGTTTTGTGATGTTCCCTGAGATCCTTCAATTCACATCAAATACCTGGATGGAGAACCATTTATGGAGATTCAAGTCCAAGTATGGATGTTTATCTTAGGAGCAGGGCAAAGAGCCAGGGAATTGGTGAATATACACTATTCAGACACTATATACAGATTTCCATTTCCTTTCATTCCAGTTTTTAGATGGAAACAAAGGAGGCATGACCAAAATTGCTCACTAACTTTGGATTCTTAAGACAGGGTACCTTGGAGCTGATTTTTCATAGTAAGTTCAGAATGCCTTTAGTTCCCTGGAACTAAGTTCCAAGAATACTATAAAAAGGAAAATAGGACAAATTATAACAGTTACTTTGGTTTAGATGAATAGCTGGTATCCTTTAGCTCAACTTCTGACTTAACTGTGAGTAGCTGCAATTCTTTTAAGACTTACAGTCTACTAAATGTTAAATTACAACTATGAGATTTTTTAAATTACACAAATTAAGCATGAGGATTTAAAGTTTGGTATAGAAAATGGGGAAAACAGAATTAATTTCAATTTTCAAAAATTGGATCTAAATTATTCCAATATGGCCATGGAATTTTATAGAGAAAGATGAATGTGTATTCTGGGCAATACTTAATTCCTAAAGTGCTACATCATTCATTACATCAAATTCCTCCTCTTCTACAGTAAATGAGGGATTGGCCACCTCACATTTAGCATCTTCTTCAACACAAATGTTGACTTATTCCCAGATCCAAGAGAGACAGGATTTTCTCAAAAAGAATGCTCGTATTAAATGACCCCTGTTGGAAAGGGACTCACACACCTGAGCTGAATTAGCATTATAAAAGCAATCCCAGATATGGTATTGCCCATCCCCTGAATTTGAGTCACTGATGTTCTCTTAATGCAGATTTTCTTTTGTCTGAGTGTTTCAGAATGCTAAATCACAAAGAGGCAAATATACTATTAAATGTATAAAGATTTCTTATTGTTGCTGGCTCATTCCACATCTCCAAGCAGTAAGCATAAAGGAATAGAATTCAAATTTATAACTCATGTTAGCTACTCTGGTCAAGAGCAAATCAATATTTTAACATTATAGCTTGTTTCAGTTGGTCTCAGCTGCTTTCCTACTTGAATATATCCCAGAAAATGCTATATGGAAGTTGACCTTTATTACTAGACTATATCAGACATTTATTCACATTTTTAATTTTTTTGTCTTATGAAGTCATAATTCTTTTATGCTTATGCATGCTTGCATATTTCAGAACTTCGGCCTTACAACAATTAAATAATTTTTTATCAATATTGTACTGACTGGTCCATTTTGACATTTAATCTCCCTATATGTTTTTCTAGGTTTCTAACACAATATTTGTATGTATGTCTGCACTGCCATTTTTTTTTGGTCCTTTATCTTCTTAAAAAGACAATGTAAAATACAAAATTATTATCAATATTATTTAAAAAATTACTTGCAATTATACATCATGCTTATTCCACATGGGCTGACTGCGTTACAAAAAAAAATCGCCCTGAGCCAAACCCCAGAAATTGTACAAAGAAAGAAAAACCCCAGCAATTACTTGTTTTATATTCCTTTTCATAGTTAATGTTAACTGTGATTCCAATAAAAAGATGATCAGCTAACACTGAACAGCTGTACATGATGTTTTGTGCTTTGATGTGGTGATATTTGATTGGAACCTCTAGGTTAATAGTGAAGGATGTATGAAGAGCTGCCTGTAGCTGTTAGGCCATGAGTTGTTCCGACCTTCCAACTTCTGCTCTTATGTTTGCTACATGCACTGTGGATATTGGTGAGGTTCCCTATATCTCAGTTTCCACATATGCCAAACCAGAAACAACTGTGTTTTAACAACTAACAGGTCAAAGAGCATTCACTTGCGGTGTTCTCCTCTGTATCACGGAAGTTATTCCTGTCATTGTCCTCTATGGCTTATTTCAAGTGATGGGGAATCCTGGGCATTCCCATTCTTACTGGCTTGATTTGGAGGGATAAGAGCTGTATCTGCTTCAGGAACTATTTTAACTTTGGAACAGGAAATGAAACATTTTAAATGAGCAGGTTTGAATAAGCTGTATCCTACAGGTTTAGAGGCACTGTTGAAGAGCTGGACTGTTACTGTAGATTTTCAGTAACTCTTGCTACACAGGGGAAATTTCAGGAGTGCAAAGGAAAGGTAACATGCTAATATTTAATAAGAATAAAAGAAATTAGCCAGGAAATTATAGACTTGACAGTGTCACATAATTCCTTGGAAAAAGTAATGGAACATATAACATGAAACTGAATTAATAATGAATTAAAAGCGAGCAGCAGAATTAATGCCAGTTCATTTGTATTTATGGAAAAAATCCTATGAAACCAATATCACATTATACTTTCTGTAGTATGGGTTGGGATAAAAGCTGAAGAAAAGGTGATTTTGAGGTCCACCAAAGCTGCAGACTTGACAAAGTAGTTAGACCACTACAAATCAATGTTTTGTTTGGCAAATTTAAAAGTGATTACGGTTTTTCATCACCTTGCAAAGCTACTTAAATTAGCCCTATTATCAAGGCTTTGTGTATAATATTGGCTAGGGATATTCCCTGTCTTTTGACAACAGAAAAAGGTATTGTTCCTGGTGGCAAGGGATATATGTGTTTGGGCTGAGACTTTCCAAGGTGCCATCACATGTGCCGTGTGTCTTTAGTGTGAGGGTGGTGAGGCACTGGATGGGCCACTTGGTCTAGTGAAAGGGGTCCCTGCTCATGACAGAGGGGTTGAAATCAAATGATCTTTAAAGGTTCTCACCAACCCAAACCTTTCCAAGATTCTGTAATTGCCAAGTTCTAGGCTGCAAGTGGGACTTTCCACAGTAGAGTCGCAGCAGGACTGGGTGTGGCCAAGGCTGGAACTTTGGCGAGAGGCTGTTGCTCAGCAACCTCACAGCCTTTCTGTCAACATTCCGCTGCAGTTGGCACACAGGGTCCCTCTCTTTCACTCTGCCTGCATGGGTATGTCCTGTCATTATTGTTAAAGTGCTAGTTTATATAAAGTGTTGGCCTTTGTACTTTGCAGCCAAGCTCTTCTGAACCTGAGGTTTTTTTTGGCAACAGGTTCTTGAGGTTGTTTAAGACTTGAGAGTATGTTCAGAAGGATATATTTAGCAGGTGTTTCTTGTATAAAGAATTTGAGCACAGCTAAGTTTTAATTGGCTGCTGGTGTCCTCATTTTGGGATTGCCTGTTGCAGAGAGATCACACCTGAGCCTCTGTTGTGTGTAGGCTGGTTCTTGTGCTCCAAAACAGTGACTTTATGTTGTGACTGAGTAGATTTAACTTTTCCTCTAAATCAGTTTTCTTGCATCAGAAGTATCTTGATGTTTAATTAATTTTTCTTTCATGCTTAAAACTAATTTTGTAATGCCAGGTCGAGTTAAGACATGGTGGAAAGTTGGATACAAAGTGAAGCAGTACTAGTGTTTCTGTCTGTGTGTCTGTATCTTAATTCCCTCTGTGAAGCCCACACTGACATTGTTTTCAGAAAGGCTTGCAAAGTGTAACAGCAATGAGATGTTTTTTCCACCATATACAATCATAGAAAATCAGTGTAAGACCTTAATTCCAGTTACAAGAAGAATAATCAATCTTAAGAGTTGAAGTCGATGGTCCTCGTCACTTCCTTCCAACACACTCTGTGAGTCTGCTGTCTGAGGAAGGCTGTGAAATAAAAATGACTTAATGCCGTCATGCAGACCAACCTAACTGTGATGACAAACTTACATAATTTCTTTGTTATCTTAATATGACCTTCAGAATTAATTTTTAAATTGTTAAGTTAGATTTTTTTTAATTGTGCTCAGCAAGAGGGGAAAATAGACCTGAAAATGGCGCATGTTTGCAAAGGCTTAACCACTTGTTCTTAAATCTTTCTGTAAAAAAAATAACTTTTGGACCTAATTTTATGTAGTGATGAAGAACTTGGCTGGAGGTCAAAGACTTGCTTTGTGCACGCTGTATTGAAACAGCATATGATTATTTGTGCTGGTTTCAATGAAGTTTTTTGTACCTGGCTATCTTTGTTTTTGCACATCAATTCTATATCGTAGTACTTCAGAAGCAGTCTTGCAAAAAAGTGGATGACAGGGAAAAGATTTGAAGGGTATTTCATGTACAGGAATTATTTAGTTGTATTTTTAATTTAGCTCAACAAACCTCTTCCAAAGCCCAGTTTAGTCTAGAAAACTATTTATTTTTGCTCTCCAGTTATAGTTTAATACCTTACAGTCATGGCACATCTCTACGCTCTAAGGGTGAAGGAATATCTTCTTCAGAAGAAACTCAAAAATAGCAGTGAAATGCTGCAATACATGCCATAAACTATGCTTTCTGAATTGTCTTATGACTTTTGAATGGACTCTGCTTATGAATAGCCGTTTCAGGGCTTGAGATTTCACTTCAAATCCTACTAAAAACTGATGAGTGCTGTATCTGTGTTTGGTTTTGTGCCAGCCTTGCCTGTGAGCTCAAGTAGTCCTCTGCTGTGAGAGGAACTCATGTTAAAATTATATTCAGCAACCAAATTCCCTCTTAGTTTTCCTCAATTAAGTTAGTCCATTCTCGTTTTGAATGACAGGTGCTTTGTTTTTTGAACATCTTCATAGCCTGCTTTGATAGGTCTTTTTTGATTAGATGTGAATTCCTTTATGTTTTCTTTGGTTTCTTTGTTTCTTTGTTTGTTTTTTAATGAAATCAGATTTTTCCACAGTACTTTGTTTATCATCTCCCAAATACCAGGATGATTTTTTTTTTTTTGCCTGCTAGGAATTGCTTTGTCTTAGATTCTGCTACACTCCTGGATTATTTACCTGGGATTAATTGATGCACAATTTTTTGCATCTGGTGAAGTGTTTAACTATCACATGTACTAAACCCTATTTTAAAGCAGAAATACTTATTGTTAATCCTGGGTACCAGAGAGATGCTCCCATTCTCTCCTCTTGTGCCTAATTCAAACTTTTGTGTATATAGAGTGCCTTGAAAATGTTACTATATAAATACCAAATATGCCCACAGGTTTTTTGCATAATTCTGACTGATCTTTCTTGTGTCTCTGTATTAGGAAAGCCTCAATATGGAAAGAACTAACAATGAAAATCCTGATGATCCAGGTAGCATTGCAGGCTATTTCTGCTTTAAATTTTCTTGACAACACTCTAGCCAAAAGCCTTGTCTTTAACAATTGAGATGGGCTGAACTACTTTTGTTTTTCATATATTAAAGAATTTATGTTGCTTGCCATTACAAGCTCTAGGGCTGTACAGTAGTGAGCTTAGAACAGGTATTCAGAGGAAAAAGAAAATCCACTTGTTTTTCTGAAATGCTTACAAGATAAGAAGTTGTGGACAGGTGGGAATGTGTCATATAGCGTGTTTTAAATACATCACATTTGCAACAGTACTTACACAACTTATCATTGTGTTGATGTGCAGTGGTTTCACCAGAAGGAAGTGAAGGAAGACAAGGTGATGGCCTGCGCCGCTCCTTCCGGCAGAGGAAAGCTGTTGAGCGCTACGAATCTCCCTTGGAAAGTAGGTGTGCTGGGCTGCCTTGGCTGGACACTTGTGCTCACCAACCCACTCTATCACCCTCGCTTCTCAGCTGAACTGGGGAGAGAAAACAAGATGGAAGGCAATCTGTAGGTTAAAGCAGGTCACCAAAGCAAAAGAATAAGGTTGTGCACAAAGAAAGAAAAAAAAGAGGTTTTGTTTTCTACTTCCCGTCAGCAAGCGATGTCTGGCCGCTTCCCAGGAAGCAGGGCTTCAGCACGTGTAGTGATTGCTCCAGAATGCAAACATTTAAAAAAACAAATGCTCCTCCTTCCACCTAATTTTCTTAACTTTTATAGCTAAGCTCACGTCATATGATATGGAAAATCCCTTTGGTTAATTTGGGTCAACTATCCCAGCTGTGTCCCCTCCCAGGATCTTGCCAGCCTACTGCTTGGGAGTGGAATGCTGGGGAGACAGCCCTGATGCAGTGCCAGCACTGCTCAGCAGTAGCCAAAACACCGGTGTGTTCAACACATTTCCCACTACCAAGGCACAGCACAGCACTGTGAGAGCTGCTGGGGGGGAAAATTAACTCTATCCCAGCCAGACCCAATACAGTATGTAGTACAATACTACATATTATACAGTTTTTCTTGAGAGCTAATTTCTTGTATGAAAGTGAAGGGTTGTTGATTTAGGTTTCCTTTTTATTTCTAAATGAAAATACATGCGCACAACTTCTTTATATTTCTTACTTCATTCTGCCAGTAAATTTTATTGAATGCATGTATCCTGCGTGCATTCTGGTTTTTTTCTTGCAATTTGGTCTCCTTATTGTTGCTTTTCAGTTTAAAAAATTACCTATCTACGCTTAAAAAAATAACAAAGAGATTTAATAGTCTTACTCTTGGGGTTTTCAATTTTTCTTAAAAATCAGGTGTCTTTTTATTTCTATTGTGCACTGATTAACCCACCCAATATCCCCTCCTTGAAACTTTCCCTGAACTTAGAGATGGATAATACATGTCCCATTTTATGCCTTTGACTATCCTGGTTTCCCTCAAACTTGTTTGTAACAAATTTGTAAGTATTTTGCATTTAACAGATCTAAGAAAACGTAACGTAAGCTCATCCAACTATACTCCACCTGTCAAAGAGAGAGATTCAAGCAAAAAACCTAAAAGGTTGGTGTATGGTTTATGATAGTTCTCCTTTATAAGACTGCTGTTGATATGTGTTGTGCTGTTCATATGACTGAATAGTACTTTCAAGGTTTTTTGGACTGGTGATAATTAGAGACTAATATAATTGCAGATTACTACTGTAGTAGTCTGAGGGTATAAGGAAAACATACACGGCAGGGGAGGCCATCCTTCTTACTAGTCCTTAGATTTTATTTGAAAACGCTGTATTTTTTGGTCACTGATGAGGTGGTAATGGGAGTTGTGGCTAAGATTGTGTAACTGAAGTTTCATTTTTCTGGAATGGAAGCCATAATGTCCCTCTGAAAATCTTAGACTTGAAGAGTGCACAAATTAAGATTTAAGACTTAATCTTGAAGGGTACAATTTATTAAAACTGAGGACAGCTTACAAGGAGAGCCTGTATGGAAGCTTAAATGGATTTTTTATTCAATTACTCAAGAGAGTTCACATTTCTTTATAAAACTATCCTTAAACAAGAAAAATGCCTAATGAAATTCTAAATTATAAGTTGCAATACTCATATTTGTAAGTGCTAAGAGTTGTTAAAATAATTCGCTCAGTTTAAAGTTGTTTATTTAGTCATGGCCATTAAACATAAAACTGTTGGAATGAATAACTATTTAGGAAGTTTATGCTCATTCATAAGGTCTTTTGTATTTACTTGGTATAATAAGAAAATCAAAAATTATCTAACTGCATCATAAATTAGGAAGCACTTTTTCCTTAATTCAAATTAGGTCTCATTCAGCCAACTCTCAGAAAGATGAGCTCCGAATAAAGGGACCTCTGAATGATCACATAAAAACAGAAGCAACTCGGAAAGGCAACTTCAATGAAGTTCACAAGGATCACTTGAAAATTGGAGCGAGCCTGGCTGGTGTGGAGCAAATGCAAATAGATGGTTCAGTAAGTATTTTTACCTCATGGTGTCAGTGGGACATTTGCAGTATTTATGGAATCTTCCAGTAATGGGCTCTCTGCAGCTCCTTTGACTTACAGTTTTCTCTAAAGCAATTTCAAATTACCACTAACATTTTCTTTGTGCTGACATCTAATTTGTGATGGAACCTTAAAGATATTGCAGTTTTCTTTAACATGTGTTCTGTTGGCTTCATCTTAGGCACAATTTCATGGTGTGGGTGGTCTCTCTGACCACATTTCAGCTTTAAAAGAAATGGTCATTTTGCCGTTGCTTTATCCTGATGTCTTTGAGATATTGAAATTTAAGCCTCCAAGGTAAGAGACATCATTTAAAACTGTAAGTTGTTAACTCAGTTATTTTCAGGAGAATATCCAACTGGGGTATCAACATGTTTCTATGCTTCAAAGTTTTCAGCAGTGTTTACAATTCTTTTAGGCACTAATAAAAAGTAACTTCAAAGAAAGGATAGAATATAGCATATATGTATGTTCAGAGATTTACTGCATCAAAACTAGTCTTTAAAAGGTGGAGTTGGAGATTTATTTTTTTTTTAGAGTCTGGCATGCAAGTGGACTTGATCAGTTTGAGAATAGGAGGGCATTATCTGCTGCTAGTTGACTGTAATTTGTTTTGTGGAAGCCCAGTTTTGTCTTACACCAACTCTTTTTTTTCCCCTCAAGTATTTCAGGTATTAGTTTTGCAATTGATGGGACTTGCAGCTAGAACTTTGTTATTTTAGCTCAAACATAAAAAACACTGCAATCTAATCTGTGCCTGTTGTCATCTTATTGCAAAGCTCCCACACCTTCTCAGTGATTTCTCATGGGCAGGTCCTCATAACACTGACTCCTTTTTCTTCACAGCATAGCCAACAAACTGCAGCTCCCCTCACAGCACAACCAACAAACTCCAACATCTCCTCACCCAGCTAACCCACTCTTTTGTAGCACTCTCTTCTTATTGGACACAGTTGTGGCCTGTTAAGGGCAGGCCAGTTCCTAATCTTCGGTGATTACTACAGCTGCAACTCCTCAGGTGCGAGACTATCTTATGCACTATTTTCTTACATTCTATCCCTCCACTTTTCCCCCTTTTCTTTTAATTACAAAGTTGCAACATCTCTGGAAAGATATGTTTTAGTAAATTGATATTATAACATATTCACATATCTCACTTAGGACTAACTGTATACAAATGTTCAGGCAACACATCACTAGGAACATATGTTTCTAAGTTCTGATTTAGTTTTGCTTTTCACAGTCTAGAGCATCAACCTAAGGCTTTTCATAAACAAACGCTGTGTTTACTGTCTTTTCAGGGCCCCTTGCAAAAGACAGTAAACCCAGTACAATCATCTTTTGCGTAACTTCCATTTAACTTTGGAATGCATCTCCGTGCTGACCTTGATTCATTACTCAATGAATAATTCATTACTCAATAACATTACATATTATCAGAAACTCTTATACTTACACTTCTAGAATATTGACAGTATCAATAGCTGTATACCTTCATAAGGCAACTCACAAGAATAAGCTAAAGGCTATATATATTAGGATAGTAACAAATCAACAGTTACATCATTTTATCAATAGCTATACAACTTGAACAACATCAATCCAGTATCTGTCAGGTGTACTTATGCTTATGGAATATAAACTTTTTCACTTATGCCTAATTGAAGATTAATAGCTGCAATTCACAAACAAAATGCACATTTAATCAGCAAACAAATACACCATACTGAATGATAGAGCTACTCTGTCCCCAGTTCCAACTGCTGTTTTAATAATTCTCTTCTTCCTTTTACAGTTTCTTGTTGTATTAGTTGGTCACTGCAAGCCTCTCTTGCCCTGCTCTGTTTTCCACGTAGATCAAACAAACAATCTGTTCTTCACTTGATATGTTATTTCCCATTGTGTCCCCAGCAGCTCACCTGTGCTCCAAGTGTCAAAATCTGTCAGGTCTGGACCAGGCAGTCACCCCTGCTGCTCTCAGTGCTACGCTGGGCTCCATCTCGCCCTACAGCCCAATCCCAAATGACATTGGGTTGCTGTGGAGATGGCCACTAAACAGTTTTAGGAGGCTTCTCTTACATATTGTCTGTGCAGCTCTGACTCTGCCTCTCAGAGTTTGATGTTGTTTTTGTTCCAGTGCTCATGCAGCAGCAACTGAGCAAACCTCCCCCTGTGCTCCTCAGGGGCCATGCTATTGCTGAGGCACCGGCTGCTGCTGCTGTGGCCAGGCCGTTTGCCACTTCTATGGTGCCACTCCTGTGTCCTGCTGCACACACTGCCCTTCAGGAGGGACCTGGCACTGTCCAGGGTCCCCTCTGGACTGCAGCCATACCTTGGCAGGGGCCACAGGGCTTGCTCCAATGCACCAAACAAGCAGAGTGTGTAGCATCCACTCCTCATATCCAGCACTCTTCTTCTTGGGGGTGGTATCTCATACATTGTCCAGACTTCTAGGCTCCCAGGTCTGCCTGGCTATAGCTCATCTGGATTTTTAGCCTGTCAGGCTCTTGGTCTGCCTGACTCCACCATCTAATTTCTCTTAGGTCTGCAGTCATCTTCCTGAATCACCTTGGGATCACATTGTTTAGTATTGAAGTCCTTTTTCCCAAACCACCACAGGATCACCTCCTTACTGCTCTCTCTACAGTTCTCTACCTGAATCACCACAGGATTATGTCAGAATCAAATCAGCCTCACCAACTGTTGTCATCTTATTGCAAAGCTCCCATACCTTCTCAGTGATCTCTCACATGCAGTTCCTCACAGCACTAACTCTTCTTCACAGCACAACCAACAAACTCCAGCCCCCTCCCCAACCAGCTAAACCACTCTTTTGTAGCACTCACTTCTTATGGGACACAGCTGTGGTCTATTAAGGGCAGGCCTGTTCCTTATCTTTGGTGATTAGTACAGCTGCAACTCCTCAGGTGTGAGACTACCTCCTGCACTATTTTCTTACATTGTATCCCTCCATATGTCTCCTTCTTACACAGCTAAGCCAGTTCTGTGTTATGAAATGAAATTATTGGAGATTCATTGGCTTTATGTATCTTTGCTCACGGTATATTGAAATAGGACTTTAAATTATTTGCTTCCAGTGAATTTAAAAGTATAACAAACAAAAGAAAATCTGTGTTTTGCTTCTTTATTCGTTGAAATTCTTTTTGAAGCAGCAGTACATTGACTCTTCTAGTTGATGGAAATACAGAAATGCAGAATACCTTCCCATGTTTAGACTACTTCCTCTTCCTTAATCACCAGCAAAGGGAGACCAAATCCAGTAACTCAAAGCTTTTTAAGGGGGAATGAAATGCTTTGCTCTCAAATCTCGACTTTTATGAAAACAAGAATGAATATGCAGTTTATCTCTGAAAAAAATGAACTGATGATTCCTAAGATAGCTCAGTCTCAGATTCTGCATTGGAAATTTGCTCTTGTTTTGCTTCACTCTACTGCAACCATCTCTGTTGGTTTGTCAGAACTGGGATGCTACTGTCTTTTTGTACATCTGCATTATTCTCTTTATTAATTTTGTTTCCTTTGTCTTGCAGAATTGTGTAGAACACTTTTGACTTTTCTCACATTTCAGCTGTTACTAAAATATCCATGAAGTGTTGAGCCTAGGAGTGCAGAGTTGTGTATTTTAGGGATGGGGGTTGAAATAAATACTTTGCCATTACATTTTTTCTTATGTGAATTTTTTAAAAAAATCTTTCTTTTAAATTGTAGAGGCTGTTTATTCTATGGTCCACCAGGTACTGGAAAGACCCTGGTTGCTCGTGCACTTGCTAATGAATGTAGCAGAGGTGACAGGAAAGTGACCTTTTTTATGAGAAGTGCTGCTGACTGCATGAGTAAATGGGTAGGAGAATCTGAACGACAGCTGCGTTTAGTGTTTGAGCAGGTAAGGTTGAAATATGCCATGTGTTCTGTTGGAATTGTAGCTAACTTTTTGTGGTCAAGAACTCGCTCTTTTTCATGTTTTGTAATCTTCCACTGAAATGGGATTACCAGTGTTCCCTTTCTCAGTGGAGTCTCTTGAGATGTATTGAAAAGATTACTAAAGCAAACAAGAAAATCACCACCACCCTGAAAAACCCTTCACCATGTACACAACTCAGTCATAAAAATGGTCTCAAGAAGCAAGAGATGGTAGCTTTACATGACTGGGAAACAGATGCACATGTTCATTTAAATTAGTAATGGGAAGTCACTTCCAGAAACTTTGAGCCCTGTCCTCATGGTTGCCAAATAGCGGTAAAAAAATCTGGTATGATTTGTTTCCTGTCACCCAGTCTCAGTGGGTTGACAGGCTGCTGTTTTCTGTTGACAAGCTGCTGTTTCACATTAGGCTAATTAATAGAGATCCCTGATTAAAAAAATCTAGTTCCAGTGCCTTTCCAACCATAATGTCTTTCTTCTCTTTCAAGTAGTAATGTTTTCCTGATGTCTGTGTTCCTGTGTTTTATTTGTAGGCCTACCAGATGCGACCTTCAATTATTTTCTTTGATGAGATCGATGCTCTTGCTCCTGTACGGTCCAGCAAGCAAGATCAGGTTCACAGGTAGGACATGTTTGATCTTTGTGAAAAGACCACAACCTATTTATCTTGATGTGACACCTTCATTTTACCTGAAAACTAGTAATTCAGTGAATTTCAGATGATTTTTAAACAATAAATGGAAACAATTCAGTAAGCTTGATATCAGTTCAAGGTCTGTGTTACCTTACCTGTATTTTGCTGTACTAAAATAATTCTTTCACTGATCAGTGTCTTGTCAATAGAAACCTCTCGTTTTTGAATGATCACTGAAGAAGGTTATGTGGGACCCAAGAAAATTTACTAAACCAGTGAATGAAAATTATGTTTTTCTGTTAGCTCTGTTGTGGGGACACTTCTGACACTCATGGATGGCTTAGCCAGCAGAGGAGAGGTTGTGGTAATAGGAGCGACCAATAGACTGGATTCCATAGATCCTGCCTTACGAAGACCTGGGCGCTTTGAACGAGAATTCCGCTTCAACTTGCCAAACAAAGAGGTCAGAACTTCAAATCAGTCTTATGGGACAAAGTCCATCTTTGTACCAACCCCCTGTAACAAGGCAGCGTCGTGGAGGAGTGCAAGTCTCCATCTGTAGTGTACAGCTTGGACACAAGAGGGATATCTGGAGACTTTCCATTGTACTGTGAAGGGCAAACCTGGTAGTGAATATATATATAGGAGTAAGATGATGTCAACGAGTAGTTACTTCTCTCTTGGACAAAGATATGAAGTACACTGCACAGGTGCAGCACTTTGAGTTCAATGGCAATAGCTAAGCAATGAAGAAATTTGTTTTATAGCAACAAAAATATTGGGATGGGGATGTTTGGGGGAGAGATGGTGTACAAAATTGTAACCCTGCTTTTCTGTTTTTTCTCTGACTATCACTGGTATTTCTTGGCAATTTTTGGAGCAAAGATAAAAGGCTAGTTGTATTGAAGGCTAGCAAAAGTGCATGAAACACTGCATTTAGCACAAACCTTTGTATACAGTATGTATGTGCTTTCAGGAACAAGAGACAAGGTGCCATGAACCAGATCTAATACACAATTCCCTGCTGTGGAAGAATTCTAGAAGTGTGCTATAATTAATCTGTGAACCAGAAGATACTTCATTGAAAGTCTTGCTCGGATCAGAGATGATAATGGGCCATGTTTGACATTTTCTGGTTGAGTGACAGTAGTCTGTGTCATAGTTTTTGTTCTTGGTAGCAACTGTACCAATTTTAAATAGGACTGTTTTCTTTGAATCAACTGGCAGAAAAGCAAATTTGATGAAATACTGAAACCTCACTGTGAAATTTTGCTAAATTTCACTGTGAAATTTTGCTAAATTTGAGAGAATTTTCTTTGGTGCACAATGTCCATTTACAGATGAGGCTTTTACTACAATTTGTTCTTCAAAATCATTAGGTCTCATGCTTATAAAACTCACTTTTTATGGAAGATGCACCTGCCTTTTTTCTCCTACGAGAGTTCAATGTAAGAATTTAAGAATGATTAAATTTCCTGCTTGAAGAAACAGCGAATGTATTAATAACTGATGTTTAAAATACTTAGAAGTTTAGCAGACAAAAGTATTTGTGCTATTGTGAGAGGTTTGGGGGTTTTGTGTTGTGGTTTTTTTCTTAACAGAAAACTTAAGGCAAACTAAATGCAACTATTTTGTTTCTAGGCAAGATTAGAAATTTTCAAAATTCACACACGAGACTGGACCCTGAAGCCGTCAGACAACATACTTGAAGACCTGGCTGAGAAATGTGTTGGTGAGTTTGAAAGCAGTGTGGGTGCTTTTCCCCTGACCAGTGTTCAACCGCTCTGCCCCCAGCCTGTATCACTGCATGGGGCTGTGACAGAGATGCAGGAGCTGGCACCTGGCTTTGCTGAACCTCTTGCTCATTGATCCAGCCTGTCCAGATCCCCCTGCAGAGCCTTCCTGCTCTCCAGCAGATCAACACTCCCACCCAGTGTAGTGTTGTCCACAATCTTACTGAGAGTGTACTCAATCCCCTCATCCACATCATTGATAAAGATATTAAAAAGGACTGGACTCGGTACTGAGCCTTGGAGAACACCACTAGTGAACCCTCTGCCAACTGGATGTAGCATCATGCACCAACACTCCTGGCCAGGCCATCCAGGCAGTTTTTAACCTATATAACACAAATATATGTAACATTTGGTTCTTGTTTTGTTTGTCAGGATTCTGTGGTGCTGATATTAAGGCCTTGTGTGTTGAAGCTGGGCTCTGTGCTTTGCGCCGCCGCTATCCACAGATACATGAAAGTGACAAAAGACTGAAGATAGATGCCAGATCGATTAAAGTAACAGCAAAGGATTTTGCCATGGCCATGCAGAAGATTGTTCCAGCATCACAGAGAGCTGGGGCTTCACCTGGGAGAGCACTACCATCTATTTCAAAGCCTCTGTTAGAAAACACCCTGGAAAGAATTTTACAAGCCTTGCAGAGACCATTTCCCCACGCAAAGCTTGCACTGAAGACTCAAGGTAGTACAATAACATCTAATTGTTATACTTTGCATGTGCAGAGTGGGAGCTGTGTGTCAGTGGAGAGCTGTGAGTTCTCTACTGGAGCCCCCTATTACTGACAGTAGCTCACATCCCATTGTAATTTCAGAGATGGATCTAAGGTTTCACATATGAGGCACTTCTTTTCAAATTGTAGCATCATAGAATGATTTGCATTGGAGGGACCTTAAAGGTAATCTAGTTCCAACCCCCCTGCCTTGGACAAGGACACCTTCCTCTAGACCAGGTTGCTCAGAGCTCCATCCAGCCTGGCTTTGAACACTTCCAAGAACTAGGCATCTATGACTTCTCTGGGCAACCTGTTTCAATGCCTCACCACTCTCAGAGTAAAGAATTTTTTGCGATTATCCAATCTAAACTAACTCTCTTTTAGTCTGAATACATTTCCCCTTGTCCTCCCAGCACATGCTCTTGTAAGGAGTCCTTCATCTTTCCTGTAGGTTCTCTTCAGGTACTGGAAATTCAAAAGTAGGTCAACCTGAAGCTTTGTCTTTTCCAGGTTAAACAAACCCAATTTTCCCAGTCTTTCCTCATAGGAAAAATACTCCATTGCTCTCATCATCTTGGTGGCCCTCCTGTGGACTTGCTCCCAATAGGTCAATGTCCTTTCTTTGCTGGGACCCCAGAGCTGATGCAGCCCTCAGGTGGGGTCTCACCAGAGCAGAGGGCAGAATCTCCTCCCTTGGCCTCCTGCCCATACTGCTTTGGATGGAGGCAAGGACACAATTGCCTTTCTGGGTTGCAAGAGCACATTTCTGGGTCCAGCCTTTCAGCCACCAGCAGCCCTAAGTCATTCTTGGCAGGACTGCTCTTGATCTATTCATCCCCAGCTTGTGTTGATACTGGGAATTGCCCTGACTCAGGTGTAGCACCTTGAACTTGGACCTGTTGAACCTCATGAGATTCCCATTATTGCAGTTCTTGAGCTTGTCCAGGTCCCTCTGTATGGCATCCCATCCTTCAGGTGTGTCAACTGCATCACTCAGCCTAGTGTCATCTGCAGATTTACTGAGGTTACACTCAATTCCCTTATCTATGTCAATAATGAAGATATTAAATAACATTAGTCCCAGTAGGCACCCCTGAGGGACACCACTTGTCATTGATGTCAACTGGAACTCCGAGCAATTGATTGCTACCTTCTGGATGTGACCATCCAACCACTTTCTTATCCATTTAATAGTGCACTTATCACTTATCCATCTGTCTCCAATTTAAAGAGAAGGACACTGTGGGGAATGATGAAAATGAAAACTTTACAGAAGTCCAGATAAATGACATCTGTAACCCTTTCTTTGTCCACTGATATAATCAATAGTTATTATAAATATAGTAAATAAATGCTTAAATGAGGGGAGAAGGGTTTTTCTGATACCTAACAACTACAGAAATTGTTCCTGATCATCTTCATTCTAAGGAAAAAACTTCCCAAGTGTTTGTCAATAGAGAGATAATACCTCATGCAAATCATAGGACATGGGACAGCTTTGCATAAGTTTGTGCAATGCCCTCAGATCTGTGGTAGGATGTACCCTTCAGATAATAGCATTCAAATAACAAAATGCAAGAGAAATGTTTTCCAGCACTGGTTTCAAAGGTGTATTAAAGCAAGAGCAAAATATGAACTATTCAGTAAAGATAACAAAATTCTCTTGTCTTTAAATACTGTTTTAGGGAGTTATGGGATTGACAGTGACGATGATGACTCACCATCAGTCTCTGAAAAGAAGCCTGAGAGCAAAAAGGCAGAATTCCGCACTTTGAGCCGGTACATGTTTGTCCTCTTTATGGTGACATTTTTGAGATGGCTGCATCTGTAAAATGTTATGTAAATATTTGAGGGCTGCTAGATGAAGGAGTTAAGAGTGTGTGGAGGGGTGATCAATATTTGCAAGAATTCACCCATGAAGATCCAGCTGGGTACTAGATCAAACTGTTTTGACTATAGTGCCCTAACTTGTAAAACAGATCAGCCCAGCCTTCTTTTACTGAGTCAAACTGGTTCACAGACCATTAAAGCAAGCTGGTTTAGTCCATAGTATTCCTTCAAAGACCCAAAAAATGCTCATTCTGTCCTTTTAGCTTAAAAAACCTCCATGGATTTATGTAGCCATCTTTTACCTTTCTACCTTCCAAGATGGTTGAACCAGTAGCAAATTATGTATCAGAAACAAAATCAAGAAATGGTTTGTTAAATCACTGGGAGAAAAATTTAAAGGATGCCTCCATTTTTTACCTTTACCCTACTGATTTTTTGTGGTCTTTTGACATTTTAATTGTTGAAGTCGTGTAGTCCAATAGCTTTAAAAATGTAAAAATATTATTGTCAGATATTTTTCTCCCTTCCTATGGCTGTGCTGCCCGGGAAATATGACTTGCTGAGGTTGGTTAGGTTTCTAGGGTCTTTTACTTCAGCAAGTAAAGGTGCAATAGTAATGTGGTGGGAAAATGCACAAACCTCTTCACAAGGGTATGTCGTGCAAGTAAAGCAAGATGACTAGGAAATTAATGTCCAAGACAAAGTTGAAACAACTAGAATGACTGAATAAAATGAATTGAAATCTTACACATATTTAGTGTAGTGCTGTAATTTAAGCAATCAAGTCATGTTCTTCTTCAGATACATATAATGTATTTCATTAACCACATTCGGTTTTTTCCTAGAAATGTGGTTTTGCCCCTTTCTTCCCACCATCTCCAGGAACTGTGGCCAAATTTTAGCTAAATTTGACAGGTGTAGAGATCTCACATAAAGTCAAGACAAGCTGTGTATGGACAGTAAAGAGACCCAAAAAATGGCTGTGTATGGACAGTAAAGAGACTCAGACTGGTTTGAGCTGTAAGAATTGTTATTTTGCCCTGTTATCAGGTTACTGACCAGCTGTTTTGTGTGTGTTTGTCTGGACATTCCCCCTGTGGGATTTAAGAACTGTTACTTAACCCAGCCAAAGGAATAATAGACATGCTGGGAACTGGCAGGATGTTTTAGCAGAGGAGTGATACCAGTTTTTGAGAAAATAGACTTTGATAAATAGACTGGTCTTCTTGATCACAGAATCACAGAGCAGCTTATTATTTAGTGGAACATGGAACGTATTTACCAAAAAAAAAAAAACAAAGGGAAAAGTATTTAACGTCTCTGTGCATCTTCATCACACTTTTTAAAACTTTTTTTCTTTTTACTGTTGTAGAAATCCTTCTTACCAGCCAACATCTTTCAGGCCACGGTTCTTACTAGTTGAAGAGCCAGGATGTGGGCAGGCTTTTGATTTGGCACCTGCCATATTACATGCCCTGGAAAAGTTTCCAGCTTATACACTAGATCTACCCACCTTGTTTGTTAGCACCACATCACAGGAAGAAACATGTTCACAGGTATCTTTTTTTGCTGCTGTTGTTGTTCTCATAGGATTCTTGAACTGTATATAAACTAGTAACATAAGCACAAATTACTGTTAATGGAGTTGGCCTGATTTGAATGTGCTGTTATGTGTTTACTTTTGTCTGAAAATTCACTTTTCTTGTAGATGGAATGATACTGAATAAAGAGATTTTTACATAGCCATGTTTCATTTCTATTTGAAATGAAAGAGGATGTTGCTAGCAGCTTGGGAAGGTGGGAGGGGCTGCTAATAAGCCCCTCTTTGTGGCAAGTGATCCTGCTGGTCTTGATGGGATCCAGAAAGTTGGTTTTGTTACTTCTTAGGTCTCTCTGCTCCCAGTAGCTGGCTCTGCATCAGCCTGATGGTGTCATGCACTTTTTGTAACCTTTTTTTTATCGTATTTGTAAGGCAGCCAAAGTTTTTGTGAAAAGAAGTTTTTTTGAATATACAAATCCAGTCTGTACTACTGCAGTGAAATGCAATGAAAGCATTCCAATTAATGGAATGCTTAAATGTGCAAACTGATGTGTGTCCCTTAACTAGAAAAAAAATATAAGCAGATTATTGCAGTTTTGATTTTTTTAGTTTTAGGCAGGAATTCAATTTAATTACTTGGCATTGCTGTATTAAAATATGTTTATCTTTACTAGCAGCATTTTAGAGCTGTACAAGTTAGGACAGACTCATCATGTGACTGGATACTCGTTTGCCATACAGGAGGAGCAATTCCCTTTTTTTTATGTCATGGTTGCACCTATGGCTGTTTAAATACCCTGACTGCTGCATGGATATATCACACATTTGTGACAGGGACTCCCTACATATTCTTACTCTGAAATGATGCATGGAGAAATTTGTCGTGTGAAAGCACTGTTGCCACTTCCCTCATGAAGTAGATTTGTGTCCTCTTCTGTTATTGAAGTGCCGTTTGTAGGCAGTGGTTTGTGGTCTTTCAAAGCACATCATCTGGTCTGGTGGATGCTTTGATAATGAGAGGAATGAGAGGCTCTGAGCTATTTAGCTCTTCAGGCAGGCTAAGGACTAGTGACCTCTTATATGTTTCAAATGTTCTTGAAATTATTATTTGTGACCAGTCTTATTTTACTGTGCTAGCCCTCATTTTTTCACATAGGTCTTTGTTCAGGCTGTGCTCCAGTCTAACATGGGTATGGGCAAATGAACTGAAATGGAAATGGTGCAGGCACAGTTATGTAGTGATTTCTCCAGGCTAACACATCTTGCTGAAGGATTAGTCTTGATTTTTCAGGCACATCATCACATCATCTGAGTTTTGAGGCTCTTTAGGAGTTACCTTACCCCTAAGTAGTTTTGAAATCTGATTCAGTTCTGTTTCTGTCTGCATAGCAATGTCTATGTTTGACTCAAAGTGAAAATGTTACCTTATTGTTAAGGAATTGTTCATTCATTGGTTTGTCTTGATGTCTTGGCTTTATGCGCTCCTATTTCACAAGACAGTCTGACTGATACGTAGTTACTCAGTGGCCTGTTCTACATGATGCAATTTTCTTATCCAAGCTTTCATTTTACTAGTTGATAAGAGAAGCTCAAAGGACAGCACCAAGTATCATTTATATCCCACAAATCTCTTCGTGGTGGGAGGCTGTTGGACCTACACTGAAAGCTGGTTTTACAGGATTGCTGAATAACATTCCATACTTTGCTCCAGTTTTGCTCCTTGCAACATCTGATGTGCCACATGAAGATCTCCCTGAGGAGGTATTTCTGCCAATAATTTTCTTTCTTTGTTACTCAGTTTCTTGCTAGTTTACAACTTCTTGAAATGCTGGAGTACTCTGCTGCTCTTAAGCCAATTTATGCTGTTATTACTCAGGCACCAGAACCTCTTAAAATTTTCTTAGAATAAAAAATGCTGAAAGCATTTGTCTAAAGTGTTTTCTGAGTGAAGAGATTGACTTTGACCCAACATTTTTTCCCTTCTCACACACTTGTGCTTACTAGACAGACATATAGATGCACTTCAGACAGCCAGTTCAGTAGCTTTGAGATGGTTTGGTGTGTATTTAGTGAAGAATACACAGTGCTTGAAAGATAGCTCGGAAAAAGATTGTTTTTCTGAAAACATTTTTACTGAAAAAGTGCTGTGGTCATACTGTTAGTGATAGAATGTAATTTCTAATTTAAATTATTTCACAAAAAATCAATTTCTTCATTTGGGTGGAAACTTGGCAAATTAAAAAGCTAAGGACAAACTTCTGTTTAAGCAACTTGGAAAACAATTTTTAGTTGTATTTCTTAATGAAATTAATTAAGAACACATGCTGTGTTTTCTAGAATCTGAGTGTTCTTTAAAGGAAGGTGTTTAAAATATTAATATGTTGCTCTGATTGTTTTGTATAAGAGCAAAGTTTTTATAAAATTATTAAGTACCTTCTAAAATAAGGTACTTAATAATAAGTAAATAAGGTAAAAAAAAAAAAAACAAACAAGAATCCCACATTACCAAAAATTGTCACTTGTCTGCCAATCCCTGCCTCATCCCTCTATAACTGTCATAAATATTCAAGCTGAAGGACATCAAGCTGGGTAAATGTACAGTAAGCAGTATTTGGGGAGGTAAATGTCACCCCTTTCTGACTGGTTTATCATACTTCTTCTCATGGATCTTAAACTTGAGAAGGTTGATTAGAGAAGGTATTTTAGTCTGCAGTGCTATGGGAATCCAGCCTTTTAAGGCCAAGAAGTTGACTTTTAAAGCTTATTTTATCTAGATGAGTATTCAGTGTAATTTAGAAATACACTCATCTGTTTGGAATAGAAAATAAAAAGTCTTTGTGGCCTTATATCTGAAATCTCTTTTCTTCTCATGGTCTAGATAAAAACATTGTTTAATACTAATCGTGAAGAAGTTTTCAATATCCCACGGCCTACCTGTGCTGAAAGGAGAGGGTTTTATGAGAACTTGATTATGAAGCAAGCTGCTGAACCCCCTGCATCAAGAAACAATGCAGGTAAGGATTTTCTACCTATACAACTTTGTTGCTGTCAGTTAACAGCTAATACAGTATTTGCTTTGGTGATAATTCTCTATCAATCATTTTTCATGTACTTGCATTTGAGCACCATGAATTGACTAAAATTTTTCTCTGTTATTGCAGAGAGGTACTCTATTTCAGGTACAGGATACTTAGGTGATACTCTCTTCCACATTAAGAGAAATCCTGACTTAAATTTACATTATTCCAGATTCACAGGCACACCCTTCTGCAAGATGTTCTCAGGTGGATGGGCAACCACAAGTATTGGACAAGAAAGCAATCAAAATTCTAAAACGAGGAGTGTTTGTAGATTACTCTGAGCTCAGAGTAAGTCTAACTTCAATTTTGTTAATACTGAAGTAGGACATTTTCTTTATGGTTGTGAATTAAGTCAGTTGTTAACCAATGCCAGTTCAAACAATTTACGAGAGGGATATATAGCTTGTGAAATAATTCAGCCTGTAAGGGACTATGACAGTTGTTTCTGCAGCTGGTGTAAACTGCTGCTCTTGCCGTATTTTAGAAGATGGGGTTCTCGTCCTAATTTTTAATGTAAAAGGGCTTGTTAGATTTTAATATAGCCCAATGACAACCTTCTATTACTGTTAGTTATTAATGCAGTTTTTATGATGGATTGTGGTAAGGTTGTTTTGTTTTTCTGTTTGCATGTTTTCATGTATTTGGAACCAGAAAAGGACCTTGATTTTTAGCAGTTATGGCTTTAAACCTGAAATTAGCCGGTTGACCTAAAGCACATCCTGGATAAAATACTAATACTCACTTTTGCAGAATTCTTTCAAAATCCAGTGTTAGAATTTTACGTTCTTACAGTTACAGAGTTATAAGGTTTTTATAATCCCCTATAGGAGAGGAGTTGTTATCCTAGGCTATAGCTGGGGAAAGGGTCAAAAGTGGGCCTAGCTGCAGGGGTTAAAAGAGGTTCCTTTGCTTGAACTGGAGAGGGTATAAAAGAAGGACCTGACTTTCAGGGAATATTGGTTGGGCGAAAATGGGGGAAGTTGCTGGCTGAACTCCTGGAGTTTGGTCAAAGCAGAGGAGGCCAGTGTTTATCTGTCTGAGAAAGGGAGTGTTGTTTGGATGTTTCCTCTGTATGGGGATAATATGACCAGAGTGGTATCTCCTCTGATGAAGGGGCTTATCCAAACAATTTCTGTCACATTTTTAAGCTGTGACATAGTTTGTAGAAGTGAAACTAGCATTCTAAGGCTGGTGTCCTAAGGAAGCAAATTTTAGGGGATTTTGTTGTTCACATCTGCCTGCATATGGAGAGAAACCACATAGGTTTTTCTAGAGTGAGAGTGCTGTGCTCCAAAGGTATTTCCAGCTGGAGAAAGGGTACGATATTTCAGCTTATATATATTTTTCAGCTGTGAGGAGAAAGCTACAGTCATGAAACATGTCTGTTTAGAAAACTTATTTCCTTAACATGAGTGTCACTGGAACTTGACACTTGTACCAGAGAACCTCATTGGAACTTTCCTGAAGTCATTAAGCTGCGTGAACCTCCAAAATATATCTGCTTGGTTTTGTATGGGATAGGATGTTTTTTATTATTTGTTTGGGTTTGTTAAGTTGGTTTGATTAGTGGCAGTTTTTGTTTGTTTATTTGCTTGGTAATAGGCATACAACTTGACGAAAAATAGAAAAGCATGCACTCACCTGCGTGGCAGCAATTAGAGGTCATTTCACTGGAGATGTTGGCCATGCACCGCTGTCATGTCCTACGTGTTGTGCTTGCAGCAGCTGAAAGCTGTGTGGGTTTTGTGCCTCCTAGCTGTACGTTGGATAGAAGGAAGTTCAGGGAAATACTCAAATGTTGTCCTAGCTAATCTGAAAAGGGCTGAGTTAATGGCAAGCAGCTGTGAGGCAGTAATATTTTCATTTGATGCAGCTGCTTTCTTAAGCTGTATCTTCACAACCTCACACAACACAGAGTTACTGGACAGCAGTGGTGCCACTGGCTTGGTAGTGTTGCATTTCCACAGATTATCACATTCACATCTCCACAACAGAAGGAACTGTATGCCAGATTGGCAATTTGCTACAGGCGGTCGTTCTGCTAGTTCATCCACTTCTGAGTTGAAAGATAGGAGCTAGCTGCTGTTTGGCACAGTAACATCCAGCTAATGGGTAGGGGTGAGCACCTAAGGAGCTGTACCTGGAAGATCTGTAACTTGTCTTCCAAAGACATATTTTCCAGGGCCCTGTATTGCATTTCTAATGAAATACAACCGTGGCTTCTCAGTTGCAGGTACTCTGTAACAAAGTGGATTGTGTCATTCCCCTCTGTTCTGGAGGCAGTTGATTGGCAGTTAGGATCACTGATGTCATAGATTGATGAGTAAGAAAATATTGTCTGAACTTTAAACCTTCCTTTTGTCTGAAGTGTGAGAAATTGTTTTCTCCAGTTAAATCTTGTGAGATATTTAATCAGCTCTCCAAAGTGCCACTTTTATTTCACAAGATACAAAAGTAGGACATACCTTGTCCTATTCTGAATTGTAGTTTCCACTTTTTTGTCTTCAGAAATTGTTGGATGCTGTCGTCACAGCAACTGAGAATGTCAGTATATCGAGCATGGCAAAACTATATTCTGTTCTTAGCATGTGCATTTATCAACAGCGGGAAAATCCAGACAAAACCAAATTAGTGGAGGTAATTGTTTTTGTCTTATAGCACTTTCTGTCACATGGTATTATGTATATGTATGTTATGCATATGTATGTGCTCACACTTATTTATCACTCTTTACTGCTTAGTTGCCTGTGTTACAAGACTTTCATTTCTGGATAGAAGACATCTACTCATATTGCAAACCCACTATTGAATTTTGCATAATTGTTGGTAATTTTGGTAGAAAAAGGCAATGGGTTCACGTACACAGGCCTCTGAAACCAATTTATCTGTCACTAGTCTTTCTGAAGAACTTTTCCAGCTCTATAAAGAAGATGGGGGCTGTGAAAGGAGAGCACTTTTCTCAGTCTGCCACTTCCTATTTCTTTCCTTGCAGGCAGGCACATAGGGTAACACTTGGATAGCACTCATTCCATTCTTGAAAAGAAATTAAATATGAAACATTACAATAATTTCAGTATTTGCTGTAGGCTCAATAGACTTCCTTTTTAACTTGGCATGGCTCAAGCATCTTTAATATGATATGTGGGGAATTTTCTGCCTACAATGCTTTGATGCTACTGAGTCCAACTCTCTAATCTCCTCCACTGAGAGAGTATTTCTGAGTTGTGGAGCTCAGCAGAAATCTTCCACAGGCATCCATGGTCCCAGGCAGGCATTCTCAGTATTAAGTTGTTTTAGATAGATTGAGTATTCAGTCTTTAAGATCCTTGAATCCATTTGTCTTTCAGATGTTTATGCACGAAATTGTGAAAAATTATTTATTCTTCTAAGTCTGCCTCAAGAAAAAAAAAAAGAGGAAGCTTCTTCTCTTTAGCCAAGGAGACCATTCCTGAAAAATGTGCCCTTCTCTCATCTAGCAAAATTATGTGTTTTAGTATGAGGAAGGATTTGTTTATGTTATACCAGGGCTTGTGGGCTTTTGTGACTGGACTTGACTTCTTTGTTCATTTTCTGTGTCTACTTTTAGCTTTAGTTCCAGCTTTCAGTAGTGGCTCTTCAGGAACTGTATTCTTTTTTATCATAGGAAGCACCTTGATAGAGATCCATTGTTCCTTGAGATAGATTCCTGCAATTTCTCTGGCCTACTCTCTGCTTTGGGTGCCTAAGGACTTGTTTGAAGCTAGTGGGGCTAGAAAGGAATTGTGATGGTGGTAGCACATGTATTGGCTAAATATCACTAACACATATGTACAGATTCTTGATTCTTTTGATGAAGAAGTTATCAGGGTTCTCAGGCTTGTATTTGCACTGACTTCTAATTTGTCTTTTTTTTTCTGTTATTAGGAAATGAAGAAAGAAATTGCAGCCTTGAGTTGGCTGTGATACTTGGCGTCAGTGTACTTGACACACTGTAATATATGGCTCCCAAATAGATAAGTTATATTTAGCATGTCTCACTAATTGTAACAGCTATAGGAAAAAAGATGAGAAGAAAGAAGCCAAGTATGTAACTGACACCAGACATAACAGAGTGCTGAACCAGTGACACTTGGTGAAATGACCAATATAATGCCAGAGTATGAGGAACAAAACAAGCCAAGTTTATTCAACTAGGTAATTACAGAAGTAGATCATGCCCACTGGATTGAGAAAGGATGTGTCTGAAGAAGGGAAGGCATCAGCGGGAGAAAAGCGGGCACCAGCTTGAAAAAAGATGGAGCATGTGGGGTAATTAGCATATGAAGCAAGAGAATCATTCCACCAATAGAAGATTGAATATTAATGAATAGGAAGATTGTGTAATTGGGAGCCAATCAACATTAGTGTCTGGAAAGTTTTGATAATCAGTATGCCGGCTTTGTGGATTCACTGCCTACCACCCTTTTCTGCGCAGAACTGAAAATAAATCCAATACCTCTACTTTGTATGGCTCAGTCTTTTGCACACTGGGTGAAAGAACCTGTTTCAGGACAACAGTGTTTTCTTTTCAAGAGAACAGCATAGAATTCTTCTAAAGTGTTTTGATTCTGATTCCTGCTGTTGTCGCAAACCTTCCAAACATTTTTTATCGCTGGCAGACACTGGAACAGCTTATTTTTTTTCTTTGCTTCAAGTTTATTTCTAGTGAAGAGAAGCTGAGGGGCCAGGAGTAGGACACACTTGTGGCTCTGGCTGCCCTGTCACCTCATGGGATGGGTCAGGAGGCACCTAAGTGCCCAGGGTGCAGAAGCAGGCAGGCTGGGGTGGCACTGCCGCCTCGTAGGTAGCTGTGGTGCAGCTTCCTCCAGGAGTTCACCTCCTTTGATCCTCCTCCCTCAGTAGCTGATGCATCTGGATGTGCTGATCTGGTTTGCTGATTTGTTTGTTCTTCCTGTTTATTTTGATTCAGTTTCTTACCTGTGAAGTTATCTTACGAAGATAATCTTAGACACTGCTTTGGTCTTATTTTAATAATGGTCACACAGAGAGTGCCCGTATTTTGATGACAAAAAGGCATCAGGACCAGTGCGTAAGATAAAAATACATAACCTCTGATTGCATTTTAGCTGGCCTCAAGTACCTGTGAAATACTCTTTAGTCAAGTGTTTGTATGTTTTACTTTAGATGCTTTAAAAACAAAACTCTCTTTAGAAATCAGGACTCATTTGTGCTTAATTAAAACTCATAATCTAAACTGGTGAAAATGTTACTTAAACTATTTATAATCTTGGTCTAGCTTAGTAAAAAAGAGACAACTTACATGACTATAAAGCATGTCATGTAGCCCATGCTTTCTGCATCTCAGTGTTGCTACTTCAATGACTGGATAATTCAACTTGCAGGAGTTCAGTATTTTTAACATAGCTTTCAAAAGCTAAAATTCTTATCTTTCCAAGTCAGGCTCTTCTTTCCAGACTGTCTTGCATTTCCATGGGAAACACAGACCAAATCCAAGTCAGAAATGGTCTGCCCTGCCTTGGAGTGAGGCTTGTCATGGACTCTGTTTCCTTCCCAAGGAACACTTCCAGGAGTTTCAGCTACATGGATTAGGTTTTTTTTTTTTTTTTATTATTTTCTTTATCCATCAGTTTCAAAACTACTGAACTAAGAAAGAAGAAATCATTGGAGTGGTGCATTGATGTTTTTTGGTGAGTTTTTTTCCTTGCAAAGGATTGGGGAATCTGCTTTAAAATTGCTGCTTTGGTTTTGCAGTCTAAGCCATGAGCAGACAGTGACAGTTTCTTTTGGAGAATGCCATGGGTGACACTATCAAAGATTTTACTAATGTCCAAGTAGAAAATATCCACCGCCTTCCCCTCATCCACCAAGCAGGAACACCATGTTGTAAAAGGAGATCAAGCTCATCAGGCAGGCAGCACCTACCTTTCATAAACCCATAAACAACATCCTCTGGACCATGACCTTCCCTAGCACCAAGGTCAGACTGACAGGCCTGTAGCTTCTGGGATGCTCCTTCCAACCCTTCCTGTAGATGGATGTTATATTTGTCAGCTTCCAGTCAATTCCAGTTAATCAGGACTGCTGGTAAATGATTGAAAGTGGCTTGGCAAGTTCTTCTGCCTGCTCCCTCAGTACCCTTTGGTGTATCCCATTAGAGCCCATAGATTTATGGGTGTTTTAAGCAATGTAGCAGTTTACTAACCATTTTCTCCTGAATTATATAGACTGTATTCTGCTTCCAGTCCCCGTCTTCCAGGGTAAGGGGTGAGTACCCTGAAGTCTGCGATTTCTATGTTTCCTTTTGTGTCAAGTAAAGGATGGAGATTCTCCACAGCTCTCCTTTTGTTGCTGATATATTTGTAAACACATTTTCTCTTGCCTTTTATGGCCCTAGCAAAGTTGTACTTGAACTTTGGCCTATTAATTTTCTCCCTGAATAACTTCCTCACATCTTTGTAGTCCTTATGTACTTCTTCACACTTCTGTCCTCTTCATCATTGACTTATGTCTTAGTAGCATACCATGGAGAAGTAGAAGAATCTGGTCTGGTTTCTGCTGCTTTCAGCATGAGATTTAGTTTGGTGTACTTCTTATGAAACTTTGGATTCTAAACTGAACAAGCCCTGTCCCATGGCCATCAGAGATTTCCTCACATAGTAAATGCGAATAGTATCATCCACCTTGCAGAAACACCAATATGAACAAGATCAACAGCCATGAAAAGGTCTATCTTCGGTTCCCTGTGGGTTTCTGTGGGTAAATGCCATCCTTCTGAAAGCAATCTTTTAATGTTCATCTCAATACTGTCATAAATGGAAGAGATACAGGAGGAAAACTCTCCTAATTAGACTTTACTCCCAGGACAAGGTGTTTTTCTGCTGCATTAAGGATATAGAAGTTTGGCAGAACACAAACAGCCTTGTGTCCCATCTGGTCTTCAGAGGGGCTGGGTATGGCTGGTCTTGAATTCTGATTAGAGTCAATATACATCGTTCACATAAATATGCTCTTGCTTCTTGTCCTAGGAATTTCTGTCTGACAACATTGAGTGTTTCAGGGAACACTATGTAAGATCAATGTGAAAAATATGGCATCTGTTTTACACTCTAGTTTTGACAAAAGCATGAAAATACTGAGGGAAAATGTCAGTTGATGTTTTACAATGTATTCTATTTGTATGTGTTCAATTCCTGTTCAATTTATGCAATGAAAAGAGAAAGCATGCACAATGAGACGTGTAATGGCAAATCTACAGCTAAAAGTCCACGGGGGAATATGAGTATGTTAATGTCAGTACCAGTGTCTCAAAACCAGAATAACTCTTCTTAGTAAACAGCTTCTTGCATAAAACCTATGTATTTCTTCGCAACTCCTTTGAGATCTCCCCTCCTCTTTGGTTACTGAGATGCTAGTTGTCCTATGGAGTATCAAGACCGTGGTTAGGAAATGTCTGTCCTTTGAGTACTGTGTGTATGGTATGGCAGCAGACTCAGAGTCTCCTTGGGGCCCACAGGCTTTTCTTTGCATGATGTACAACATCAGATTATAAACCTGGTAAACCTCCCCAGTCTTGGGGAAGTGTACAATGCAATGCAATGCAAGATTTGTGTACAACACTTTTAATTCAGCAATCCTTTTTTCTTTTCCTCTGTCCTCTTTCTTAATGTAGCCCTTTGGTAAAGCCAAAACTGGGTCCATAAAAGGAAGATTATAAAGATAAGTATTAGTAATCTCTTAGGTGTCCCTTTTAGTCTGGTTTCTGAGAAGGATTGCATTTGGTCACTTTGTCTATTTAACTTGGCTCCATAAACTTCTGAGCTCATCAGTTAAAATCAACTGAAGTTGTGAGGATACCACAAACATAATGAATTTCCTAGGAATTTCATGAAAAGATGTCGGTGCAAACAGGAGGGGATGCTATTGATTCATTTAATGGTTGGGAAGAATGTAGTGTGAATTCCTGCCTGCTCTTAGGCACTAGAGAATCTGTTCTTTAGCTCAGATTTATTTGTAACTTGGATTTTTTGGAGACTGCAGGACAAAGATTAATTGTAAATCATTCTTGAAGAATGAGGAAATATTGCAGTATTGTAACATATGGGAAAATTAATTTGTTCATAAGATGCACAAACCCACTGATGGGGGGAAGCCTGGAACCAAATTGCTGTGCTGAGTACACAAGCAGGCTTGGTGCCATGAGGCTGCTTGCTGGAAGCTGGGAAAATCCAGTAGCTCCAGGCAGCATCCTGCCAGTCTTGGGCTGAATGTGGAAATGGGCCTGAAATGCCTTTTGAGTGTAGTAACTTAAGTTTTTCTTGTGCAATATAAATTGTTATTTACTGAGCTCACAATTAGTTTTATATTTGGGATTATGAGATTGAAGCCTAGCTGCACTTAAACTAACATGGTGATGTGTCTATTACTTTGTTGTTTCCACTTTTCCAGACAGAAGTAACTGGAATAAATTTGACCCCACATGGAACAGAAGTTGGATGTTTGTTGTCATCATGTGTCGCAGACATCTTTTATGGAAAATCCTTTCCTTAGGATTTTTCCTCCTGAGAATCTGGGAGGCCTCAGGAAAAAAATGTAAACAATGGTTATCTGCTGCTGTGGAATGCAACAGGTGCATCTGTGATTGGCCCATGTTGGATGTTTGTAATTAATGGCCAATCATAGACCAGCTGGCTCGGACAGAGAACCAAGCTGCAAACCTTTGTTATCATTCTTTGCTATTCTATTCTTAGCTAGCCTTCTGATGAAACCTTTTCTTCTATTCTTTTAGTATAGTTTTAATGTAATATATATCATAAGATAATACATCAAGCTTTCTGAAACATGGAGTCAGATCCTTGTCTCTTCCCTCATCCAAGAAACCCTGTGAACACTGTCACAATCATGGTTTTCCAGTCTATTAAAAAGTTGCTGGACAAATTAGGCTTTTAAATAGGTAGTTTAAGTTTAAGTACTTTAAGTTGAATGCTGTGGTAATGACAATGACTTTCAATTCAGTATTTAAAGAAAAAAACTCCATCCACTGTACATAGTTTTACATTTTGGTAGAGCAACATCAAATAAGGGGAAAAATATACTTTCTGTCTCAAAGACTTTATACTGCATTATACTCTAGTCGCCAGAACAGTGAAGACCAGAGCTTTCACAAAAGCTACAGGAAAAAATATATTCGGAAAACAGGAGAATAAGTTATTTCTCCCATTTCTCCTTAGTCCCTTTTTGCAGCAAGTAAGTTGCAGACTTTGACATTATTTCCAACAGAAATTTCTGTTGAAGCTATTTCTGTTATGTTTAGACCTTTCTGTTCTGCTTCAGTTTTTTCCCCTGAATTATCTAATAATCTCAATTTGTGGTCTTGAGCTCATTCTAAGGGAAAAAAAATATGGCACTGTTTTGAATTTACTTTCAGAAGCTGCTGAAGGAAAAACACATCTGCCAAAATGTGAGTTTTATCATTTCACTCTTTTCTCATCTTTAGTTTATTCTTGCTGCAGTCGGTGGTTGGACT